GTTTTGCACTTCAGTTAGTGTAAAACTTTTTTTTTTTTTTTTTCCAATCCAAGATCATTCTGAGAGCTGCCTCTGTAAGTATATATTAGTAAGATTTCTTAATAATTGTGTTCTGATCACAATCAAAACTTCAATCCTCAGATTTACGTCCGGGAAAAAAGCCCTTGGATTGGGATACAAGGATGAAAATTGCAGCAGGGGCAGCAAAAGGACTTGAATACTTACATGAACAAGCCAACCCCCCTGTGATATACCGCGATTTCAAAGCTTCCAACATTTTATTGGATGAGAACTTCAGTCCAAAGCTCTCTGATTTTGGTCTGGCAAAGTTAGGCCCAACTGGGGATAAGACTCATGTATCCACCAGGGTGATGGGGACTTATGGCTACTGTGCACCTGAATATGCACTGACAGGGCAGTTGACAACAAAATCCGACATTTACAGCTTTGGAGTTGTGTTTTTGGAGATAATCACAGGAAGAAGAGTTATAGACAACAACAGACCAACGGAGGAGCAGAACTTAGTTACTTGGGTATGTTCAGAATCTTGTAATCTTCCAAAGTTCTGCAATATTTTTTGTTAGACTATCAACCCTAAACTTAGTTACTTGGGTATGTTCAGAATCTTGTAATCTTCCAAAGTTCTGCAATATTTTTTGTTAGACTATCAACCCTTCAATCCCACAAAGGTGTACAGTAAGTTTCATTTTCCTGCAATAAAGAATTGAAGACTATACTCATCTTCTTTTGCAGGCACAACCATTATTTAAAGACAGAAGGAAGTTTACATTAATGGCTGATCCATTGCTAGAAGACAAGTACCCTATGAAGGGTCTTTACCAAGCTCTTGCTGTTGCAGCAATGTGTCTCCAAGAGGAAGCTGCTACTAGACCTCTGATCAGTGACGTTGTAACGGCGCTAGAGTATTTAACCGTAGACAGCATTGCTGAAACTGGTGAAAATAATGGTGATGGAAATGTTGAGAGTACTGATGATGGTGCTTTTGAGGGTGAGGAGGGTACACAACCAGACAGTACAAGGAGCCTATGAGTGAATGTTTCATGAACTCTATATGATCATGTTGTCAGGACCAAAAAATGAAAGAAAAGTTTGATCATCTTGTAGCTAGCTAGGCTGCTCTGTAAAAACAAACCCCATGCCATTGCCATTGTTTTAAAAAAAAATCACTTCTTTTGTCCAGATTTGGTTGTAGCATGATGAAGTTTTGGTGATTTTCTTGATGAGAATGAGGGGCTATCACAAAAGAATTGGTTAAGGGTGAGGCACTTTAACCAAGCAGGCCCAAATGGCCCATAAAAAGAAGAGAAGAGAAGAAAAGAGAAGAGAAGAACAAACTCATCCTTGCAGGTAATAATTACAAGTGCCATAAAGAGCATTTCCAAATTGTCTGCTATTAATTTGTTGTATCAAATGCCAAAAATGTAGCTATGTCTATACTTCAATGATGCTCTATTTGTTTTGTTGTACTAAAATTTGACTTCAATATTAAAGGTTAGAATATGTATTAGGATCTTCAACCTAAAAAACTCAAAAGATAAATTACTATATTTCAAAAAATGACATGAAACATGACAGTGTCAACCATTTTTTACAAGTGTCAATTATGCCACGACTTATATTACACTAAATAAACGGAAGTTAATATAAGGAAAATACTTGCCTCCTTCTCTAGAAGTAGAAACTCCTATTTTCCTGCTAATCACAATTTGAATGTGTGCTGAGATTCTTCTTTTTGTGTTTTTGATGAATTCTTTTTGTATGTGTCAAACTTTGATTTGCAGGAAGTAGAAATGTCTCATTCCATGTAAGGAGGAAAGCAGTGTCCTTAATATAATAAGCGCAAACTAGTAATGACCAATTATGTCCTTTTTCGAATTCTTCTCGACTTCTCCAATATAATAACCGCCTCACATACATAGCATGTGTTAAATTACTAGTGCACATGTAAAATATATACCATTCTTTCTTAATATTTAGGTGTTTCCAGTCTAAAAGAAAAAAGGTTTGTCAAGTATTGTTGATCCAACTTTTGGAGATGCAGCACAGGCAGTTTGTCTCCACCAAAAAGACATTTTATTTTCGTTTTTTGGAATTTTATATATATAAATAATTAGGGGTCAATGGAGTATGGTACATTACATGCTGTATGCACGTGCAACACAGGTGGCAGAAACAACAGGATTGTTCTTTGCCGCTTGCTCACTTTACAAATTTGAATGATACGTTGCCCGCCAAAGCACAGTTGGGTAGGGGTAGGGGTAGGGTGGGCATTTAAACATAGGTGTGTGCTTGATGAATTTTGTTGTTGGAAACCCTTATCTTGTTTCCCTTTTGATTCTATTTCTCATGCTCCCAAAACTTCCCAAGACGCAACAAAAGAAAAAATTCATATGGAAATGAGCCCAAACCAAAGCGTTCTTTAGATTGGTTCTGTTTAATGTGATACTTAGTTATGACTCTTTTTATGCAAAATCAAACTAAACTGGTTATAATATGTGCACTTTTTTTTTATCACATGGAGATTCGATTTGTTCGAACCGACCCTAGTTGCGTTTGGTAGCTACGGAGATGCGTATCGGTTT